AAAGATGAACCCCAAAAAGTGCGCATTCGGGGTGTCATCCAGAAAATTCTTGGGGTTCCAAGTGCATCAGCGTGGCATAGAAGTTGATCCAGAAAAGACAAGAGCTATAAATTCCCTCGCGCCTCCGAGAAATCCAAAGGAGTTGAAAAGTTTCATGGGGAGATTATCCTATATTCGGCGCTTCATCCCAGGTCTTGCTGCCACTATGAGTGTTTTTGCTCCCTTACTCAAGAAGGGCAGGCCATACGAATGGAGCAAGGAATGCCAAGAAGCCTATCAGCAGGTGCAACAAATAATTACTAAGCTGCCCACCATGAGAGCACCCATTCCGGGACTTCCTCTCAAGCTTTATCTAGCTGCAACGAATACAGCAGTTGGGGCCTTACTCGCTCAAGACGACCATGATGGAAAGGAAGGCCCTATTTACTATGTAAGTAGGCAATTAAGGGGAGTTGAAACAAGATATCCAAAGACCGAGCTCTTATGCCTTGCCCTTGTCTATGCTGCGCAGCGCTTGCGTCACTACTTCCTTGCTCATAAGCTACAGCTCATTGAAGTCTGACCCCGTAAGGTACTTGCTCACAAGGCCCGTGCTCTCTAGACGTCTTGCACGGTGGCTATTGCAGCTGTCCGAATTTGATATCACATGCATGACTCCTAGGGCCATCAAAGGACAAGCCGTGATTGACATGCTGGCTCTATTTCCTAAAGAGGAAGGACCAATTCTCTCGGAGGAGGTTCTGGGAGAGCTGCCGGAAACAATGGCTGTTGTTACAGAGGAAGAACCATGGACCCTTTACTTTGATGGTTCTTCTACGTGAAATGGTGGAGGAGCAAGTGTGGTACTCATCAACCCCGAAGGACAAGCCACAGCCCTCTCATTCAAACTAAATTTCCCATGTACGAATAATGTGGTGGAGTATGAGGCATTCATTATGGGGTTATCTACAGCAAAGGAAATGGGCATAGAGAAGATTAAAATCATTGGCAATTCAGATTTGGTGCTAAGTCAGTTACAGGGGAGCTTTGCTGTGAAAGAGTCAACATTGGCACCATATCGCACGGCTGCTGAAAAGCTTGTCGGCTCTTTCAAGCAAGTGCTGCTGGAACACATCCCGGGAGTCACTAATAGATATGCTGATGCTTTGGCTACATTGGGGTCAAAGATCTCATTCACCCAAGAGCAGCCCAACATCACCGTAATAAAGAGAGATGTTCCAGCAGTTGAAGCAATGGCTCAAGAGGAGCTGCTGGAGGAAAAAGATTGGAGAAAATCTGTGAAAGAAAGTTTGATCGGAGGAAGCAACATCAAGGACTTGAAGGACTATGTGGTTATCTTCAGCGAACTCTACAGACGCCTGCCGGGAGGTATTCTGACCCGCTGCATAGGACTGACAGAAGCACAAAGAAGACTCTGAAAGGTACATGAAGCCACTTGCAATTTGGAGCCAATAATCAGCCTATATCGACGCCTGCAACGCAAGGGTTATTATTGGCCAGAAATGAAGAAACAAGCAGCTGAAGTTCAAACCAATTGTTCCAATTGTGCAACAATACCCTCCACCGAAGAGTCATTCACCATTTCATTTGCGGAAGATTGGAGGGCCCCATACTTGGCATTCTTTATTGAAGGAGTTCTACCAAGCAACATTAAGTATGCCCACAAGCTCAAAAAGACGCTGAAGAGATACTTCATAGATGGATCCACTCTCTATCGCAAAGGGTTTAATGGTGAACCTTTGAAATGCTTAGGAGAATCTGAGACGCAGCAAGTGATACAGGAAATTCATGCTGGAGAATGTGATGAACACCAAGGGATGAAAAGACTCTATCGGCAACTGCTGAATGTTGGGTATTATTGGCCCACCATGAAGAATGATGCATACAATTTCATGAAAAAGTGTCATACGTGTCAAGTCCATGCCAATTTAAGTCACAAGCCTCCCATGTTATTGCAGGACATGCGCACTCGTTGGCCTTTTCACACTTGGCGGCTTGTCTTGATCGGAACTATCCACCCACCTTCTAATGGTTACATATGGATCCTCACAGCCACTGAGTATTTCACAAAGTGGGTTGAAGCAATTCCTCTCTGAAAGGCCACGGGAGCTGCCATTGCAAATTTCATCCGTGAATACATCGTCTGCAGATTTGGAATCCCATACAAGATCGTCACCGACAATGGTACCCCATTTGTTAACAAGCAAGTAAGCTCGACGCTTAGCGGCTATGGTGTCAAGCATCGTCGTTCCACGCCATACTACCCGCAAGGAAATGGCCAAGCGGAAGCCACAAATAAAACTTTGTTGAGAATCCTAAGCAAAATGGTGTATGAGTATGAAGGAGGCTGGAGTGTCCACCTGCCGGATGCTTTATGGGCTTACCGCACCTCTCCAAGGAGTGCCACGGGTTTCTCACCCTATTCGCTTGTGTATGGTTCCGATGCCATATCGCCCGTTGAAATCACTATCCCCATTGCTAGAGTATCGGCTGTCAATGACCTTGAATGGGATGCAAAGACATGCTCAGAATGGCGCTTGTTAGACATCGAGGCTTTGGATGAGAAGAGAATGGAAGCCGAAAGAAGAACAGCACTTTACCACAAAACCGTTTCCCAAGCTTACAACAAGGCAATCAAGCCACAAGCCTTCAAGCAAGGAGACCTCGTGCTAAAAGTTGTCGAGCATGTGAGAAGACAAGTCTCGGGACCTTCCAAGTTCGCCCCGCAATGGGAAGGACCATTTACAGTAAAAGAAGTTTACAGCAGCGGCTATTATCGCCTGGTCTCTGTCAAGGAAGGCATGCTAACGGACCCCATCAATGGGAAGTGGCTCAAGCCCTACTACTGCTAAGTTCATTTCATGCCCAGCACTTTTTATTATTGTATTTCCTTTTGTTTTAAATATGGACTCCTTCCATGTTCTCACTTGGTATTTTGGAAAACTCTTGTATGGTGCACCACTATGGTAGCATGAACTTTGCAATGAAAATGAAGGAGTATTTTGAAAAAGAAAATCTGTCTATAAAATATTACACTTCCTTTATGTATCACCAGACTTACCTCGCACCAAGTACTATATATATGTATATGTACGTATATAAAATAATGACAAAAAAATAATAACAAAAATATATATACACGCCACTTAGCAGTAAAACATGCCAAGCAAAGCCACTCGGATGGGGTCCCGAATCATCAACAAGCGTCACGCCTAAGCAAAATGACATAAGCCAAGATATTACGAAAAAGTACTATTGCTAAGTTCATTTCATGCCCATCACTTTTTATTATTGTATTTCCCTTTGTTTTAAATATGAACTCCTTCTATGTTCTCACTTGGTATTTTGGAAAACTCTTGTATGATGCACCATTATGGTAGCATGAACTTTGCAATGAAAATGGAGGAGTATTTTGAAAAAGAAAATCTGTCTCTAAAATATTACACTTCCTTTATGTATCACCAAATTTACCTTGCACCAAATATTATATATATATATATATATATACACGCCACTTAGCAATAAAACATGCCAAGCAAAGCCACTCGGATGGGGTCCCGAATCATCGACAAGCATCACGCCTAAGCAAAATAACATAAGCCAAGCTATTACAAAAAGGGCATGCAATTCTTGAGATGCTGGAACGATAGAGCCATTGTACCCTCTCAATAAGCAATGCAAAACATCTGGAATTCTGGGGAAAGCCATGCACACTAGTCTGTTCCCTTCACGGCATGACAAGAAGGTGTTTTTTCAAGCTTGGTAGTTAGACAAGCCATGCAAAGAAAATTTAGAGATTCTACTCCCACCAAAATTTTGGCAGCATATGCCTCGTTTTTTTAGGATTTCAACCTGTCAGAAAATCTCCAGAAATTCACAATAACAAATTCTCCAAATGAGCAATAGATATATATATATATATTACAATAGCCCTCAAGCATTCAGAAATTAATACGAGTTCCAATGAATCAATATTACATTGCAAAGTCATAACGACCTAGTCGTTAGAATATTCAAGAAACAAAAGGCTACAGTCAAGATGAGATAAAGCTGCACGTGCTAAAGACCCACACATCCTCTAGTCTCGAAAGAGCAAAGCCATGTGCCAAGATGATCGGCCACCAAGCCAAGGAAGGACAACCTGCGAAAGGAAGGAGGGCATATGTTAAGGTTAGGTGATGCTGGAAGGCGTAGTCCAATAAGTAAGAAAAAAAAAGAAGAAGGAGGAATCGGGAAAATTTGAACGGGGGTCCTATTAAAATTTTGGCAGCACCCGCCTTGTTTTAAAATGATGCCCAAGCTGTAAGAAGATCTCAAGCAAAACAATTCCACCAACCAAGTAGCATATGAATATATTAAGCAAAAGTTACAATGTGTCTTTGGCAAAAAAAGGGGG